AGCACGGGCGTTAGATTCTCCTGCTCTTCACCTAACTGCAGGATGAAAATGTGAGAAATTCAAGTGGAATTTGTGTTTATTTATTTATTTTGTTGACTCTTGTGATTGTCCTGCAGGGAGTTGACAAAAGTTCCTCACATGGCCACCACCGCTGGAGATGAGCACACGGTGCAGCTCATGCTGAAGAGATGGCAGGACCCAGATTCTGGCCTGGATCAGGCCTGGAGAGAAGAATACATGGTCTACCTTTCATTTCCCGACCCTAATAAACCCAATAAGGTCTCTGTTGGTGAGTGAAAAGGGTCCTGGATGTGCTTCAGTGGGAAAGGACGTTTAATTTTCCGTCATTCATCCTATTAAACCGTTAAAAGCTTCATTTTAAACCGTTTGTTTTGGACTGAGTTTTGCCCAGATAAAGATCCGTTTTGCTGACTTGTTCGTTGCAGTGAACCCGTCTGGATCTGTGTTACACACCGCCAGAGAAAAGGAGAAGCCTTACACTTCAGACCAAGAAGACCCTGAGGTGGTCCAGCCATATGCTGCATACTCTCCTGCAGGAGAGCCAAAGGTAAAACGTCCGATTGACATGAGAACAAATTTAAAGTCACTTACAAATTTAAAAAAAGGTGATGAATATTGACTTTGTGTGCAAATGCCTCCATTTGAAAACTTACTAAAAAAAACATTCTACTAGTTGCACTGTGTTTGTGCACAGACATGTTGTGTACCTCCTGTGTTTACGAGGCTCACAGCTTCTCGGAGTAATTCTCTTAAACTGTAAAAATCACACGATGTTCATGTTTCTGCCTCATAAGCAGACGAGTCACATGTCAGAAGCTGGGAGGCCTTCTTTCAACTCTGCATCATCTGACTTTATATCATCACTTTTTCGCCTCAACCACTGTGTGCCATCAGAGATCGACTTTTAAACATTTTCTAAATTCGTTTTTATATTTTTACATTTTTTGCTTTTGTGAGGCACCTCGTGATTTTTTATCTTGAGAGGCGCTATATAAATGATACTTTCTTCTTTCTTTCTTCTTCTTCTATTGATTTTAAAATATTAGATATTGCATGACTTTTGCATACTCTCACCAAAATTACTGCAAATATGGATTTGGCAGTCTAAATGTATCTGATTGTCTATCTCTTATCTTCCTACATCTCATCTCAGATCTCTAGAAAAACTTGTTTTCTTCTTTTTCACATCATGATCTGCTTCTGAGCAGGTTAGGGATCTACCCACCGCATAACTAGTAGATACTACTGGTGTCTATCTCCAGCGGTCAATGGGCAATCAGGTGGGGGTACACCCTGGACAGAGAGCCAGTCCATCGCAGGGCAACACAGACACACACACACACACACACACACACACACACACACACACACACCTAAGGACGATTTAGACAGACCAATCAACCTATAACAGTCATGTTTTTGGACGGTGGGAGGAAGCCGGAGAATCCGGAGAGAACCCACGCATGCACAGGGAGAACATGCACACTCCATGCAGAAAGATCCCAGGCCGGGAAACTGAACCCAGGACCTTCTCGCTGCAAGGCAACAGCTCTAACCACTGCGCCAGTGCGCAGCACGCACAAAACTCAACACCCATGACTCTCAAATGTTGTTCTGAAATCTGTCTACGTGTGTGTTAGTGAGCACTTTGTTCCGGTTATGCCTTACATTACTGCGTTACAGCAAAAGCAGTGCATTAAAGTAATTAATTACTTTTGTAACTGTTCATTGGAACGTACCAAGTGGTCAAATTTTCGCCTGTAAATTGACCAGAAAAAAAACTTTCATTCAGGCCTCCAAATCCAGAAAGTTCTGCTTCTATCAACGATGTGGTTTGAATAAAACAGAAATTACTTCCCGATTAATTCAGTTTCCAGCTGACTCCCGAGTCGGCCAAATCGGGGAAGAAGCAATTTTGAAACCATCTCTTCTGACATCCAGTCGAAAGCCTCTCTGCAATGCTGCGGCTGATATCAGACAACGGCTCTTCTAAGAGCCAAACAAACAGACTTAGACACAAAACAAGCATTCCAGCTTCCTGTCGTCATCTGGAGTGATCTCAGACTAAACGGGTCCTATCGGAGCTAATCTACAGGTTCCTGATAGCGAGAGGTCCACTCCACCCGCAGTGACCCTCACAACCAGTTGACCCCCTGGATCGCACGAGAATCCCCACACAAAAGGTGCGTAGATTCGACACGGACTGCGTCGGATAACCCTAACCCTAACTTCCATTACAACACTCCACACATCACATTAAATCACTTCATATCCATTACATCACACATCATTATTCATACCTCGTCATGTAAAATCATTAGTTTAAGAAAAAGAAATACATTCATTTTTATACACTATGTCCCTTTAGGCCCTAGGCCTTTTCTCTTTGGGCCCTGGCGCCTCCCAGTCGGGGGCCTTTGGAGTTTCATGTCCCAGGTGTCGGTGATGGTTTGCATTCCCCGAGCACGGCTACAGCTACAACCACAACAGTTTAGATTGTAAACAAAGCTATTTTTGGTTTTTGATGCATCAAGATAAAATAATCCTTGAACTTTATTTTAGAAGAGCCGCCCTGTGTGAACGTGCTGACAGGATGGAGGTTGTGAGTTCAAATTCCATTTAGGATATTTAGTCTTTTGTTTTATTTATTCCAGGGGTCCTCAACTAAATTTGTTCTAGGTTGTTTTTTTCCAGCAGACACCAGAGACGGCCAGACGCTCTTCTAAAATAAAGTTCAAATATCATTGTGTCTTAATTTATTACATTTAAAATGGCCTTGTTTCCCGTCTGAGCTGTTTGATTGTGGTTTTATATGAGTCTGGAGAATGTGGACAGTTGTTTATGTTTGGGACATGAAACTGTAGAGGCCCCCATTGGGGGGGGGGGGGGGGGGGGTTAAACAGGATGTACCTGACTCTGTCTGAATTAATACGAAGTGTGTTAATGGTCCTTGAATAAATAAAGTAACTATAACATTCTTATTAAACATTCAAAGATCACTCAGATTGATATTTTATATTTATATGGAATGATCACATCCTATTAATCATTTTTAATAAACATGTAGTGAAAATAATCCTCACTACACCATTTACACTAGAAATCTCTGCAAATGTGTTGAAAAAAAAACCAATCAAACTTGGTCTTTAGTAGCTCTGAAAGCACCAAAACTTTTAAATTATATTTGTAATAAAGATTTTGTTTTATTTTATTCCACTTATTATAATCCCTACCCCCGATAATTGTTGATGTCGTTAGGCCCTATTGTGTTGGAATGCTTGTTTTGATCATTGTCTTTAGTTTGAAAACTTTGGATGCGAAACATGATGGCAGGAAGAACGTTTCTGGATTATATATTTTTACGAAAATAGAACACAACTACAATGTAAAAATAAACAAAAACATTTTTTATGTACTCTGGAGAGAAAATCGCCCCGGAAAGGAGACAGAACATGTTGAATTATTGACAGTTGTCTTTTATAGTTAAAGCGGTGAATGCTGGTTTACTGGTATCATTAAAAAGGCGGTTTCTATCAGTTGTCACATTTTCAAGGCTAAAAGCATTTAGATGTCTTATCAAGTGCTGATAGGTTATCAGTTATCCCACAGAAACACCGTGTGAAACAGCAACAGCAGATTTTGTGACTACATGTTTTTGTTACATCACTTTTTGTGTCGTAAAAGTTGGAACGGAGAACGGGATTGTGGGTTCAAAGGGGCAAAAATGGCATTTTTTGCTAAATCAAAGGGAATCCAGAGTAGTGAAGGACTTTGTAAAAACTTCTGGAGTTTCAGTTGAGTTGAAATGTGTCAGGAACTAAAAAGAAAACAATTTGCACCGTTACATAAAAAAATGGCACAAAGGCAAAAAAACTGACCAAAGATTTAACAAAATTTAAAGGGACTTTACAGTTTTGAATTTTTATGCTCGCAATTGCCCCCGCAGGCCAAAAGTGTAACAGCAGCTTCAATAGTAGGCTCGTGCACAAGGCGCATGCTGTACGTGCACACTCCTTAACAAAAATTATAGCTGAGACAGTCGTGTGTGTGTGTGTGTGTGTGTGTGTGTGTGTGTGTGTGTGTGTGTGTGGCCCGGAGGACAGAGTACAGGAGAACGTGCAGCTAATTAATTAAATAATGTGGTTCTGTAGCTTTCTCTTCAGCACAGCCGACAAAGGTTTATGATGGGTCAGTCCTCCTGCATGCTCAGATCATTCCCTTCCCTTGCTTGAAAAATTGTTCCAAAATGAAAGTTGAACCCACATCTTTTTTATCTGTGAATTCAATGCCGTTCGGCGAGTCTCAAATAAAAATTTGGGCATCTTACTGTAAAAAAATATACCATTAGTGTAAAAAAGAAACTCTAAATAAACTATGTTCACACCCAGAATCAAACCCGGGTCTCCTGCACGAGAATCCGATGCCTAACTAGATGAGCTAAAGCACCAGTGACATCTTTTGTATCTGTAACATTTATATCCTTGATGACAGCTGAAACAACGTCAAACCAAAGAACGGTTCGGAGTGAAAATGGCTATTTTGTTGCTAATTAGCAGGAAATATCTAGAAGAAAGTTCTACAGAAAGTAGCTAAGGGTCCTCAGAGATGTAGCTAAATTTGTCACTAGGCGTTAGGAACAGCGACAAAGTGGCACTGCCTCTCTCTCTGCTGCTAAAGCTACGGATAGCAAATGCTACGGGCGATGCCTGAGCGTGAGCGCGCATGAAGCAGCCTGCTCGACCCGAGCATCTCTCTTTTTCTGTCATTTTACAGAAAAACAGGCAATCACAGTAAAAATGCCAGGGCTCATTCTACAGGACCAGGGCATTGCAGGAGAATGTATGAAGAAGACATTTATTATTTCTATACATGTTTTGGCTGTCACACTTCCATAATGCCCCTTTAAGTTGTGATTTTAGGAAAACGGTAAAAATGAACAAAAAGCCAAATCAATTCAAAATAGCAAAGTTTTCCTAACTGTTTAAAGTAGGAGTGTTCATTATTGGCTTTTTCACAAAAATCTAACGGATATAAATCAATATCCCTCAATGGAAAAAGAAAAACGAAAGCATTTCAGATAACCAACATCACATATCTCCTATTGTTCATATTTATTAAACATCATCTGTGCAAAATGAGACCGCTGCTTCAGTTAATTGGGCCAATAAAACAAAAACATCTAAAAACGATGCCTCAGATCTGTCATGTTGTTGTTCTTCGGAGTGAAGCTGAAGAGTTTGATGTATAACGTGGTTGGAAAGTTGTGTCATTAAAACAGATTAAAGATTATTTCTGATGTTACATCTTGATGCAAATATCGACCGATAATGTCGAGCATCCCCGTTAAAAGTTGTAATTATTCTGATGACCATGAAGTTTTGAGGAATTTTGAAAGCTTTTAAATGTTTTCCATTCAGTGTTTCCATATAAAGTCACAAAAACAAAAGTCACAGCGGTCATGTGAACAAGTCCAACGTTCTCATGCTCGCACGGGTAAATTCAGAACAATTCTAAAACTTACACAATTAAATGAATGTTTACAAAACTGCAGCAAAAAAACAAGAAGATCCACATCTGAGGATTTAGACACGGGAAGGTGTTGATAGAATATTTCATTTTCTGGTGTTTTCAGGGGAAGCTGGTTTACGCCAATCAGGGGAAACCCAGTGACTACCACCATCTGAACCAGACCATGGACCTCAGAGGAACAATCGCCATCACCAGATATGGAGGAGCAGGGAGAGGAGCAAAAGTAAAACCCAAAGCAAATCCAATCAAGTATTAAGGAATCCAGCTGTTGAGCAGATTTAACCCTCATGCTTTCTGCAGGCCATCAACGCCGCACCCTATGGCATCATCGGTGTGCTGGTGTACACGGATCCTCTGGACATCAACGATGGCCTCATGTCTGATGTTAACGAGACGTATCCTCACTCCTGGTACCTTCCTCCCTCCGGTGTGGAGAGAGGCTCTTTTGGGAGTCAGTTTGGAGATAAGCTCACTCCATATCTGGCCGCAAAGGGTAATAAGTGTCTTATAACAACTGTTGCTCTACTAAAAGCTCCAAACATTCTGTCACAGTATGTAAATAATAATAAATTGTTGCATAATTTATTTTTAAATGTTGCAGGAGACACCTACAGAATCCCAGAGGAGAGTATTCCAGGGCTCCCTCCCATCCCGATTCAACCAATTGGATTTAAGGATGCGTACACGTTGATTTGGTTCGTGAAAATCCAGGCGTGGAGCGATAATTACTCAAAATGAGTCAAAATCAACACATCTCACCATTTTTGGTGTGATTTCAGTGAGTTGGGTGGAGATGCAGCTCCTCAGGACTGGCAGGGAGGATTCAACTGTACCTACAACTTCGGCGCTCCGGGATTCAAACCAACATCGGTTTTTAACGACAGGTTATCCAACATATTTTTATTATTATTGTGTTATGAGCACAATCTGAGAAATCTTACTATTGTTTTGTGAAGATGAGAGTCGAATTAGCAAACTTGGTAACACTTTATAATAAGGGTCCCTTTATTAACATTACTTAGTGCATTATTAAGCATTAATAAGCTTTTAATGTATTATCTGCTTAACTGTATTTAATGCAGTAATAAGCAGACACCCCCTGGCCCTTTGTCCTAAACTTAAGGACATTTAATAGTAAACATTAACAGTGACTTTAATGAAGGGACCCTTTGTTTATTAATGCTTAATAATGCACCAAGTAACAGTAATAAATGGACCCTTGGTTTATTAATGCTTAATAATGCACCAAGTAACGGTAATAAAGGGACCCTTGGTTTATTAATGCTTAATAATGCACTAAGTAACGGTAATAAAGGGACCCTTATTGTAAAGTGTTACTGCAACCTTAACCCCCTGAAACCCTGGATAGGCAGATTGTTTTATTGCACTGTAATATTTTATCGTTCCAATTTTTTATGATTTAATTTAAAAAGTTTAAAAACTGTATTATTCTGGTGATTTTGAGGTACTTTGGATCCCAAACATCAGCTTACTACATGTATTCTAACCCACTTATGATTTCAATCCTAGTGATGTAAAGCTGGACATCTTCAACCACGGAAAGATCGTAAACTCCTCCAACGTGATGGGGGTCATCAGAGGAAGTGTTGAACCAGGTGAGAGGGAAAACAAAATGGTGATTGCTTACAGCTTTTAAAGGTGTAGTGGACTGAAATAAAAACGTTTTATAATCGGTCACTTTGAGTTTTTCATGCAGGCTAAACATGAACATAGTCTCCTTCACCTATCTCCTGCATTAGCTTCTAATAGAAAACGGTGAAACTCTAGGATCATAGATCTACATCACGTAGAGAGTGATCTTGACTCATAACGGGGAAGGCTGCTGTTTTAACGTCCGGGAAACAGCAGTGGACGTCTAACTGTTAGCATTAGCTACTTCACCACACGGCAGAAGCTCCCCCAGGCCTGTGTTATTTGTGGAGATAAAACATCAGCATTGCGTGTCAGTTGCTGTTATCCAATCTGGGGCGAGTTATCCAAATATCAGGAAATAAGGCTCTGAAACCTGCCGTCTGAAGCTCAGCATCCAAGAAATGGTGCGTCAGTATATTATTTCACCCGATAACGACTTACAAGGTTTTCATTCCTACTGCAACTGTATCGATTAACAGTCAACCACTCCTTTAATATTACTGTTATGGTCCATGTGCCTGGGTCTTCAGACAGGTACGTGATCTACGGGAACCACAGGGACAGCTGGGTGCACGGAGCCATCGACCCAAGCAGCGGAACGTCGGTCATGCTGGAAATCACCAGAGTGCTGGGAGGAATGGTCAAACGGGGTGAGGAGGACAGTCGATGAACACGGGATGGCTAAAAGCTTTGTTTGAAAATGGCTAATCTGAGGTTTCTCTCTGTGGCAGGAAAATGGAGGCCTCGCAGGTCCATCATCTTTGGAAGCTGGGGAGCTGAAGAGTTTGGCCTGATTGGGTCTACAGAGTATGCAGAGGTGATCATTAACATGCTAATTCCAGTCTAAACAGTTCAGAAGAAAAAAATGTTTTGTGTTTGGCCAAAAAACAAAAAGTCCCACTGGTTTAGAGACGTGCCTCCCAGTGTTAACCCCCTGGAGGCAGGCGTTGCAGATTTGCAACAGTTAAAACCTACCTACCTGGTTACTCCACACAGGTATGTCAGGAGCATTTTTTAACTCCAAAATTACCCTGAAGGACTTAGTTGTTCATCCTTTTATCAAAACTTATTTTGAGCCTGAGAGCGTTAAACTGGGTTATCAAATGCTACTCAGTAGGTGAGTAGATTGTAAAGTTTATCATCATGGATAATCTGGCATGAGATTACAGAAATAATAAAACAAACCCTAGATCATTTCCTTCCTCCAGGAATACCTCACCAAGCTGAGTGAACGCACCGCTGCTTACATAAATGTGGACATAGCCGTCTTCGGTAAGAAGGTCACGACTCCACTTCAAACGCCACTCACGTCCTTATCCAGAGTTCTCATAGGGGACAAAACACGCACATTTAGAAAATGACATCATTTTCTCTTTACACGAGCTGAAACATGTTAGCTTAAGTCAGTCCTTTTCCTTTTGCAGCTAACGCCACGCTCAGAGCCTCTGGGATGCCCTCAGTGCAAAACGTCATCTTCAAAGCCTCAAAACAGGTTTGCTAGTGTCAGCTTTTCCAAACCGGAATGAAACAAACATGAGGAATATTTCAAATGTGTGTTCAATCGTTTGATCCTAAGGTCAGTGCACCTGGTCTGGACTCCACAAGCGTGTATGAGAACTGGATTCGGTATTTTAACAGAACCAGCCCGACCCACGGACTCATTCCAAGGTAGAAAGACCTGATTAAATGAAACGGTGTTCATGTACGGCATGGCATATTTAGCATGTTTCCATTAAAAAATGCATCAGTGTTAATTTTTCTGATGTTTTCCTTCCACAGCGTTGGATATTTGACAGGAGCAGGGAGCGATTACGCCGCCTTTGTCCATTATCTGGGAATCGCTTCCATGGATATCTCATACACATATGACAGGGTATGAAACACGTCTCTTCATTTACTGAGTAGTACGGAAGCGTAGACGCGCCGCACGGGAAAAAGAGCAACGTCACATATTTTATTGTTCCAGCAGTATTATTTTATTTTATATTATTTTCTAATTATATTGTAGGAATGAAAATTGTTTACTGAAAACAAAAAAAAGTATTTTGTAAGAACGTGATTTATCACATGATGGCATGATAATTTATTGTTTGAAAATGTTTGATTTGTTTATAATGTAAAACATTTTCTAGTATGTTGTAAGAAAGTTCAAATGAGATCGTTATAACAATGAAATGACCCCGTTATAACATGTTATCGCTCCAATTTTAATTTGCATGGGTAGCAGCTCGGTGCTTCCGTAGATATTCATGTTGATTTTAGAGCTGAATAACTGATATGGAATGCAGAAAGTGGTAAAACGTGATGCTCCTTGGAAGGTTTCAGCTCAGTTTTTGACTCATGCAACAGAAAATCGCTGACTTAGCTGAAAATACCTGAAATATTTTATTATATTTAAGATGTTTCCTTTCATCTCGGTGACTCATTATGTGTGAGATCAGAACGATTAACTGTAGATGTTCTTACAGAGTAAAACAAATGCTCGGATTTATCCTGCTTACCACACAGCGTACGACACCTTTCACTACGCTTCAAAATTCATTGACCCTGGTATGTGGCTCTTCTTTTGTGTGTTTCAAGTAGATGTGGTGCAGATGGCTCTATTGGCAACTTCTCAATCATCTTCTTCCTCTCAGGGTTTGTCGGCCACCAAGCCGTGGCCAGGACAGCAGGAAATGTCCTTATCCGACTGGCTGACAGTCTGGTGTTGCCGTTGAACTGCAGTGACTACGCCGAGAGTCTGGAGGAGTATCTGAACACAGCAGTGAGTTTATACCAGGAACAACTACAAGCTAAGAACATCTCCATGGGTAAGGACAAAACTAAACTGATAGAAGCTGTTGTACAGCGTTAAAAGATTATTTCAGAAGGGTCTTGTTCCTGGAAGAAAGCAACTCAAAAAATGTCTTAGACAAAAGAAAAATCTGTGTTAACACGAGGTTTTCAGGATAACTGATCTTAATGCACAGACTGCATTGGTGCCAAATTTAGATGGGAGCAGGGGCGGTTCTATGAAGGGCCCAGTGCCGCCCCAACTGCAAGCTTGGGCCCCCCCTGTGCCCCCTCCTTCAATTTTTTGTAATAGCTTGACCTGATGCTAGATGTGGAACGACAGCTTGTGAATGCATTTATCTGAAGTTGAAAAGAGATGCAGAGACAAATCATGCTGTCACTGACATGATCGCTATATTAATGTATTTTTTGCAAAACATTTATATTCTGAAATTCATTAAAACTGTGTTGTATTTAAAGCAACTGTAACCGATTATGTCATTGCAAACTAAAATTTGAAATACTTCTAGAACCTCACTTGGACGGGAGCCAACCAGCAACTTAGGGAGCACAAAAAAGTTAAATATCTTTTTTTGTAAATCCTAACCCGATTTCTGTTTCACTTCAGAGCCGCTAAAACGTGCCGTGTCAAGCTTTGGTAAAGCAGCTGAACATTTAGACCAGGTGATCCACAGCTCAGACCTGGCTAATGAAACGTAGGTGCACTCATATGTGGACTTAATCATCTGAAAGTTGCATTTATTCTCTTTTCCTTATCCTTTATTCTTTTCAGACCTCTGAAGGTTAGAAAAATCAATGACCAGCTTATGTTGGTGGACAGAGCTTTCTTGAACCCTCTGGCATTCCCAGATAAATATGGATACAGGTAAGATTGTCATTTTAATGGTGGGGTGTTTATTTTGCACATGCCCACTTATTGGTTCATGCCGTTTTGTCACACAGACACGTTATCTGGGCTGCGAGCAGTGCCGGCAAGCCAACCTTCCCAGGTCTGGCAGATGCTTTTGCCAAAGCTGAATCATCAGGACTTTCAGGCGACTGGGACAAAGTGCATTACCATCTGTCAGTGTTGAGCCAAGCTATCGACGCGGCTGCAAGCATACTGGCTGATGTAATCTAAAGAGACCAGCGCTAGAAACCAGAAACTTGGGAATACCGTTACATGACCGTGACCCAAGAACCAACACCTGATATAAATCCTTGTACACACGTAGCCCAGTATTCCTCAGAATGAAGATATTTTTCTACGATTTGGTCTGTCATCCACATTAAAATAATAAATGATACTAAAACAGATTCTATCAGAAAACCTCCGACACAAGTTTAGATTTGCGAATTCTCCAAGCGTTAGCTTGTGGACGTCAATAACCAGGGTTTTAGGTTTTGCACCATCACTGCCTGCAACAAAAATGCTCCGACATCTCATGTGTGACTTGTGTTTACACTCACTATGTAGAAGACCACAGGCAAAGGACAACGTGACATTGTTTATTGCACATCTAGGTGGGGAGGGGGGGAGGGGGGGTTCCTCAGGGCTCTGTTTTGGGCCCCCTGCTGTTCTCCCTCTATCTGCTACCACTGGGACTGTTGTTTAGAAAGCATAACATTAATTTCCATCTCTATGCTGACGATTGTCAGCTGTATATGCCTGTTAAACAGGGGGGCAGAGGTAGCGTACGCCAGCTGGTGAATTGCCTGCATGATGTTGCCCAATGGATGGGGTCCAACTTCCTTTCTTTAAATGAGGGAAAAACTGAAATAATAGTTTTTACTCCAAATGACCGCCAGCCCCATGGATTGGACCTTTCATCGTTGCTCCCCTACGAGAAGTCCGTGATTATGGACTTGGGTGTCAAGATAGACTCTGGTCTACGATGCGATAGTCAGGTGAACTCTGTTGTTTGTTAGTGTTTTTATCAGTTAAGGCTCTAATCTAATATTAAATCGATCTTAACTAAACAGGAGTTGGAAACTGTAGCGAATGCTTTTATCATCTCTAGGCTAGAGCCCTGCAACTCCCTCTACGCTGGCTTGAGCCAGTCCTTAATGACTCGGCTCCAGCTGGTCCAAAACGCTGTTGCCAGATTTCTGTCTGGAGCACGTAAGTGGGAGCATGTCACTCCCCTCCTGACAGCTTTGGACTGGCTGCCGGTGAAGAGTTGCATCTTGTTAAAAATCCTGGTCCTTGTTTATCAATCTCTGTCTGGATCAGCGGCACCATATTTAACCTCCCTGCTGACCCGTTACGTCCCTGCAAGATCGCTACGTTCGGGTCAGAGTGACCTTTTGGTGGAACCACGATCAAAGCGTAAGTCTAGGGATGATGGTGCCTTTGCAGTTCTGGGCCCTCGGCTTTGGAACCAACTCCCACAAGAAATTAAACAGTCCACACCGCTGCCCACTTTTAAAGCAAGGCTTAAGCTGTATTTTAGGTCTGTTTCTTAGTTGTTTTTATTCACATTTTAATGTTTTTGATCATAATTTTGGTTGTTTTTAGCTCGTTTAAATGTTTTTATCTCTGTATTTTCTTTTAGAGCTGTTTTATTGTGCTGCTTTTTGCACTTTGTTCAGCACATTGGGACCCCTTGATTGGGGGTGGGAAGGGGCTTTATAAATGAAATGACTGATTGATTGATTGAATGATTGAATGGTTGATTGATTGATTGATTTAAGGAATTTTATCGACAAAGTTGCTGATGATTTGGGGAATTACTGTCACCTACAGGCTTGGCATTCCCGTGAACATGCTTCATAATGTGCTGAATTTTTTAGTGAAAAACAAGGTGCTGCGTACCCAAGTATTTTCCTAGACAGGCAAGGAAGAATGTTTGGTTCTACAAAACCCCAGCTACGTGTGTACATGGTCCACATGTGTATGTTTAAAAAACACGTTGAAGGAGAAATGGACACTTCAGAACCAGAGACAAAAATATCCATTTCTTAATGAGACAAAGCTGTAGTACTGGTTCTGACCACCAGGGGTCAGTAAACACCACATGAAGCAAAACATTTGTTGCACAAACATCAAATCAAGCAACTTGGAATTTCATTTTAAGTAGAAACTGGAAACCAAATAATTATGTTTTATAGAAATCATGAAAGGGTGCTTTAATAAGAACCAAAGTTAAGCAAGTTTTTCCAAAATTAAAGACTTTTTTTCTGATATTCTGAATTGTGTCGTTGCATAAATAAGGTTGTGAGTCATGAATACATATATTCCACAGTGTTGTGGATAGGCGTTGCCTTGGGTCACATGGTGTCGGTAATAATAATAGTGATTGCTATCACCTGTGCAGGTGATGGAATGGGAGAATGAGTGGGTGATGGGGGAAGTCAACTTTTTGCTGACCGCTCAAGCTTAGAATGTTTTTTATTTATCACTGTTTTCAACGGATTTTAAGGCTTTAATAACAAATAAAGGAATTTTTAACCTGGAACTTTGACTTCGGAGTGGAACAGCGGGCGCGTCAACATTATTCCCCTATTCAGCTGCTCGGCGACTCAAAGGCTTGACAGTCGCCAATATTTGTCAGCAAAAAGAAGACTGCGTGGGACGGCAATGGAGCTGCCCGCAATCTGCGCTGAATAAACGCCGACGCAAGCCCACACACCGCCGCCACTTCACCCATTAAAGCGGCTCGTCTGACAGATAAGGAGGAGACGACGGTGGTATGTAAACCGTGTTTTGTGCTGCGTATTGCTTGTTGGAACGCAGTGTGGATTCTGATCATTTGAGGATGTTTTTGTGACACGCCCACCGCTGCGTTTGCTCTTGGACATGATGTATGTGTGTGCTGTGGCTCTGCAGGCGTTCAACTGAGTTTGAAGGATTTCCTGTTGCCTTTGTTTTGGATTTGGAATGCTGCTGATGTTGAATGCTTAAAATGAGTGGATCACAGGCATCTGTTGCTGGAAAAATTGAAAAGGATAAAAGATTAATTTCTCTCACTGAGAAAGCCCTTGCAAACAAAGTTGAAACCATCCAAACAGATCGGAAAAGGCATGTAAATAAAATGAAAAGTCTCATTACATCTCTTAAAGAGCTAATGAAAGATGATACAAATCATTCACAAGTCAAAAAACAGTTTGATGAGTTAACACACCTATTTGAGCATGCCAGTGCTTTGCATGAATCTTTACTTTCTCTAATCTCATTTGATGAGAAAAATAAACAAAATACATGGTTCTCAAGCATCGCTAAATACAATAAAGGGTTTATGGAGGATGTTAAGATATGGCTTTCTGAAACTGATAAACGTTCGGGGAGGCCATCATTTGACAAAGCACAATCACAGGAAACTTCCCTGGGAGGAGAAATGGAGATGTTAGAGCACCCTGGAAAAGAACCTCAGTCATCTCTTAATCCCCAGAATGATGTTAATGATGATGTGTTACCATCCGACAGTGTGTCAAATCAAGGCAGTAGGTCAAGCTCAAGAGTATCATCTACTTCATCTGCACGTCTCAGGGCGGAAGCTGAAATGGCTGCCTTGCTCGCACGTCAACATATGCTGAAGGAAAAACACTCTCTGGAAGAGCAAGAGGAACAATTGAGGAGAAAGAAAGAACAACTTCAGCTTGAAGCAGATATAGCTGCAACTGTTGCAAAGGTTAACGTGCTGAGAACTGGATCCACTATGCGGAGCGTCGCTTCACGGAAATCTAATGGAATGGAATCATATTTGAAAACAAAGAGAAACAGCCATGGAATTCTTGATGCGGATGCAGAGACTTTTGTTCCACAGATGCTTACAAAGGGAAACACAATCACTGGTAATGCAGAGCTTCAAGTAAAAACAGTGCAACAGACTATGAAAAGGGAAAAGCCTGCACCCGCTCTTATGGGGCCTTCTGATGCTTTTCGATCAATTCCACCTTTTCCTAAGCCACAAGCTGCTCATCCAGTAGCCAGTGAAAATCTGTTGTCCATTATGGAAAAACAAAATGAATTGACTTGTATGTTGGTCCATCAGCAGAGTCTTTCTTCACTGCCCAAAAGGGAGATTCAAACCTTTGATGGTGACCCTTTACATTTTCAGGCCTTCATGCGCTCGTTTGAACAGGTCATAGAAACAAAGACTGGTGATGCTGGCGACTGCCTGCATTATCTTGCACAGTACACCAAAGGGCAGCCCAATGAACTTGTTAAAAGCTGTCAAAATATGTCTGCGAGTGCTGGATATGTAAAGGCAAAGACTCTGCTGTATGAGCACTTCGGGAATGGACATGTGATTGCATCCGCTTATTTGAACAAAGTTCACTCATGGCCACTGATTAGATCAGAAGATGGAAAAGCTCTTCAGGCATATTGTTTGTTCTTACGTGGATGCTGCAATGCAATGGAAGAGATTAGCGATCTCTCTGAATTAAATACACCCGCCAATATGCTTGCTGTGATTAGAAGACTGCCATATAAGTTAAAAGACAAATGGCGAACAGTAGCATGTGACATTCAGGAGAGGCAACATCGCAGAGCCGCATTCACTGACATTGTTTCCTTCCTTGAGCGTCAAGTAAAAATTGCAATAGATCCTGTCTTTGGAAATTTATGCGACGTTCCAGCGACACATCTTTCAGCCAAGGGCAGCAATGGAGGGAAACGTTCTCCACACCTAAGAGCTAAAGGAAGTAGCTTCGCTACAACAGTCTCTGATGTCGAGAGACAGAATCAGACATGGATTAAAGATCGGCACAGCACTGTGAAGGTTTGTTTTTTCTGCAAAGGCGGACACACACTGGAGTCATGTGCTCTGCTTGATAAGAAACCTCATAATGAGAAGATTTCTTTTCTTAAAAAGAACAGCATCTGTTTTGGCTGTTTGTGTACTGGGCACATAAGCAAAGAATGCAGAAAACGCCTTTCATGTAAAATCTGTGGTCTTAGACATGCAAGTATACTCCATATAAACCATAAAGAGAAGAGTGAAGTTAAACCTGGTAATGAGGCAGATAACATTCCAGTTACGATCCAGACTAGTGGCCTTACTGGGGCCGGTGAACAAGACTGTAAGCTTGCCATTGTGCCAGTTAAAGTAAAATCCAAGAGAGGTCAAAGAATAGTGGAAACGTATGCCTTTCTGGACCAAGGGAGTTCAGCGTCCTTTTGCACAGTGGGTCTTATGGGTAAGCTGAATATTGATGGGAGGAGGACAAAGATTCTCCTGCGCACCATGGGACAGGAGAAAGTGGTGGACAGTTTCATTGTACCTGAACTTGAAGTTGCTGGATTGGACAGTGACATGTACTGTGATATGCCTAACCTCTTCACTCAGCATAAAATGCCTGTAGATCTTGGT